TTCCTCTGTCCCTGAGCCCCCTGGCCCTGCCCTCTAAACAGCACTGAAGGTGAGCCCATCTGCCAGTGTAGGTGATGGCCCCTTCATCCGTTCCAATAAAGAGATGGAGCTGTTAGCCCAGTGTCCGGCTGGTAGCACCAGCAAAGCCCACACAGCACCAGCCCTGGCTGAGCTCCATGTCCAGGAGCTGCCAGGGCTGACCACGGTGTGGGTGGGCAGGAGCCAGGCAGGGGCTGCTGTGACCAGCGCTGGGGCCCCGAGGGGCTGGGGGAGTCCAAGCTGAGCGTCCCTGGGCTGAGGGCACATTTCCTTCAGTGGCATCACCTGGGCCTGCACCTCCTCCACTGGAGTGCCCAGGAAAAGAAGGAACCATCAAGAACAACACCAGGGACACAGCCTGACTGTGGACATGATTTTCTGAACCTGAGAGACATTCAAGCTCTCAGGGGCTGATTGTTTCCAAGGGAAAGTCTTTGGAGAACATTTTCTCTCTCAAGGAGTGTCAGTGAGAGTAAGGTTTGCTTTCCCAAAACAAGACACAGATGTCCTGAGAGTGTTTTTCTCTTATCCAACCAGTGGGATGAGGGAGGTCTTGTTCTTTCTACCAGTCAAGATAACCTGTATTGGAACACCTTAAAAAAGGGTTGAAAAACCCAAAATAAAGGCTTTATGCTTCCTGAAAAACCTCTGGTTGCTCTGAGTGATCAGAACCTGTTGGAGTCTGGAATACAGAGTGTGTGCCCTTGTTTCTGATACTTAGTTATAAGATCCAGAAAAACACTGAATTTCATATAACATGAAATTCATGAGCATGTTTTCATGGTGATATATGAGAACAAATGTTAAAGGTAGATAATAAAAGCTAAAAGTGTAAGTGTGTAGATTAGAAAGTTTTTTTAAATCACTGGGTGAAAAAGTTAGTTTAGAGAACAGGAGACAAGATGGAGGATTTAGAGTGTTGTCTCTTGTCCCTTCCTCTTTCTTCTTCATGTTCTTCTTCTAGAGGTTTTTGGGTAATAGTAAGTGATTGGACAGAAAATGCCACAGTGCTGCACACAGGTGATGGGTCTTTGGGTCATTAAGAAAGATAATATACGTGTCTATTGTTAATTAGGTAACAATAGGTATAAAGATAAAAGAACTGCGTAGTTCAGAGCCATTTTGTGCATCAGACACAAAGTGTGCCACAAGGCCTTGTTTGTACCATCAGAAGAAAGAAATGTACCAGATTGCAAAGATTAGCCTTGTGTAGCCAGCCTGGAGAGACCTGTTAAGTTTTGTGATGACCTTTTAATAAACATGAGAAACGAGATTCTTATGAGCTCCAGAGTTTTCTTCAAATCAGAAGAACTGAGATAAGCAGGGCTCCCCACGAGGGAGAATCCCAAAAGAATTCAGTCCAAAGGAGGCTGAGAAATCTGGGAAGAGACAGAAAAATACAGAAGAGATACAGCAGAAACAGAGAAACAGAGAAAGGAGTTTTTAAAGAAAAGTTACATTACACTTCTATGAAGACAGGATAACATACAACTTAAAACCACCATCCCAATTACATTATAAGTAAAATCCATCCCTCTTCTAGCACAAGAGGCCACAACCATCCAGTGATGCCCCAGCTGGCAAACCAACTTCCAATGGGGTCACTATCTTCTTTCAGGGCATGTAACCCATCCTGTAGCTGTTGTAGTTGCAATATTGCAAGTATTTTGCAATACTGCATGATGTACACTACTCACATCAGCTGAAAGTTCACTTAACATTGTGGATGTTTAGTAGAATTCTTTTCTAGTCTGATAAGCGAGCCTTTTTAGAGTTGACAAGATTTTAGCAGCAGCTGCTCCTGGAGTAAAGAAGGAGGTTGCCCATATTATACCACGATTCCAAAAGTCTGGGTCTCTAACATCATTACATTGTAATTCATTCAGGCTTCGCTTTGACTGTTTGATGTTTTTTATTTTACCAGCTACATTCAGCAATTGATGCAAGCTTGGATGGAACAATGTAAGTTTCCCAAGATAACAGGGTCCTCCATGTGGACTAGCAGGAATTCCACTCTATGCTCTACCTCCACAGATTAGGAATATTGAACTAGGTAATCGCCTTGGTAATTGTCCTGTGAGATTGCACCGTGAATAAAAGCTTTACTTTCAGTGTTAGTAACAAGATCAACTATAGGGTTAACTAGAGCTCAGTGTTGCATTACTTTGTTGGAGTGGCTTTCTGTTGGGGATTCAAACATTATTCATC